CTATTCCTTATCAAGTCTTTTTTTATTTTCCATTTATTAGGAAGTTTTCAGTACCTTACAGTCTTACCTGACACTCTTATATTATCAACAAACTAACAGGAGATTAGGTTACTGTGGCTAATTTTGTTACAAGAAAGAGTGAAGTTAACCAAGAGTGAGCAATCATACAAAAGAAATGGAAACAAATGATTTGTATATATATAATGGAAAGAGAAGAATAGAGTTCATTTTGGAGAAAAAGAATAATAGATCACAAACACATGTGTTGAAGATAATTAGACTGACATGCTGAAGGTGTTATCTATACTGTTTGATGAGTGGCTCACACCCAAGGGAAGGGATCAAAGCCAATCCTCTATAAAGAAAAATACGCAGGCAATGGGGTACTCCAACCCAGAATTGGTGTCTTCATTGGCAGAAGCCTCGCAATCAAGCAGTAGAAGGAACAGCAGCAGCAACTGAACCAGTCGTTGGCCTGTGAAGAGAAGCATTAATAAATCTCAAAGAATTAGGTAGTAAAAAGAGAAGTTAAAAGCAAAGAAACATGGCAGGAGATGCTTACAGGCCAGCCATCACTTTGCAAGAATCATATATTCCCCACTGTGCACCAGTTAGAGTACCAACCATGACAATTCGAAGGGGAAGCCCCCTCGTACAAAGCCCCCACAGTCCAAGTCTCTTCACAGCCTAATTCAACATCATAGAGTTGTACTCTGTGAGAAGAGAGAGAGAGAGAGAGAGAGAGAGAGAGAGAGAAGAGATCAGAGGAGTTAAGAAGCTGCTACACAAAGGCTTACATCAGTAACAGTGGCGCCTTTGGCGTTGTTGAGGAAGGAGACGAGATTGTCAGCGGGATGAGAGACGATGGCGCAGAAGACACCGGCAATGTAGCCGCCAACAATGCTCACCCCCACCTGAAGTGATCGACTGCACTGCTCCTTCGGCGTTGGAATTGAGTATTTGTAGATCATTTCAACGGTGTTCTCAAAGGAAGCAAATTTCATCATAGTATCTGCATAAACAAAGTGGATATAGCCATATAAGTTTCATGTGTAGGTGCTACGTAACTCGGTATTTTGCAGAACTTGAACTACACGCAGCCAATTACATTGGGGTCATCAAATGGTTTGATAGCAGAAGTTAATACAAAGCAACAAAGAACATAGCTTTAATAGTTCATCATTGGATAATTGTTCATAATTCAATTGATAGAAATAAAGAACAACTTGTGATCTTACACCACAAGGATACTGCACATACCCTATGAGAAAAGAATGTCATGTAACAGCAGATGGCATCTTCAACTTGTCAACTCTAGAAGGCAACATGAGAAGAGATAACCCAAGAAAGCAGAGTGGCGAAGAAATGAATACTGATATCATCAAAGAATGATACATAAAAGTGGTATGGAAGTCATGCGTGACTCAATAAACTGGATTTCTGAGAGTGATACTGAGATTTTACTAGAAATGAAATATAAGCACAGATCAGAATTGCGACTTCAATCAAACTTTTCTTGAAGGTCCAAAGCAGAGGGAAGATTTTTCTTTGAGCGACATAAGATCACACTTTAAGAGAATGCAAGAACAAGGTGAATTCAACGAAAAATAACCAATAAAAGCAGAAAGTACACGAGAAATAGGTTGGGCGGGTTTGCATATGGAGATTTTTAGCAAAAGATAACCAATAAAGCAAATTGTTTAGCTCGCAATGAGTTCTTTTCTTATGTTTTCCTTCTCAATATATAATTGTTGCTTTCTCATAAGAAAACTTCAATAGCACAGTGGAAAAGCTTCATTGATGTGCAAACTTCATGTGTTAGAGGAACACTTACCATATGCACACATCAAATCTTGATGATGACACTGGGAAAACCAGCCAAGAGAACAAGAAAAAAGATAAAAGGTTTACAGAAAGACCAAACTAACGAGATTATTACTAATGACATCAGTTGGAATGATTGTGATGAAATCATTTTGCTGATGCATGGAACACAAAAGTCTGCAAAGAAGTAATATTTTTCTGATGTCCAATTGTTCTGCATGTGAAGTTTGTGAACAAGAAAACCACAATAAAGAAAGTTGCACTTACAGGGAATCTGACGCCCCCAAAGTGGGACCAATCCTTTGTACAATCTGCATTCCAATGCATCACAATCGTTAAGCAAAGGATCAAACATGTTATCGGCAAGCTGCCACAAAGAGAAGAAAACCATACCCCAGAGCACCCTCAGATCTGACGAACTTGGGCAATCCGTCACTCAAACCCCTAGCAAATCCTGGCTGCGTCTGGACTCGCACCTTCACGGCCTCGAAGGGGCAGAGGGCTACATCGGCAATCACCTCGGCAGAAGCAGAGCCGGCAAGGTAGATCAGAGTCTTGTACTTGGCGGCGTATTCAGGTCCGGCGATGTCAGAGTAGTACTTCTTGAAGAACTCGTAGAACCCGTACTTGCATGCTCCCTGGGCGCTGTATCCGAGCAGAGTCGGCGCCCAGCCTCTGAAGAATCCCCTGACACCTTGTTCTTTGAGCAGCACACCAAACCCTGAGGTGATGCTCTTATACTTAGCTGGGTCGATCTGATAGAAAACATCAAAGAAATCTTGCTAAATGCCTGAAAACAGAGGATTCCGGTACTGCGATACCCAAGATCCGAAAGCCACCAACGAACAGGGATTGGGGCTCACCTGCATGTTACACTTGACGACATCGAGCGGGGTGACGGCCGTGTGGGTGGGGCCGCAGCTGGCTATTCCGGCGAAGGTGCAGACGGCGTAGTACATAGGCGAGTACAGCTCGATCTTCCCGGGTTCGCTCGGCGCTTGGGCGACGAAAGACCCCATCGAAGCTCCACCATTCCCCGCCTTGGAGATGCGGCTGCTCCCCGAGATCATCCGCTCCAGACCGAGGGGTCTGGAGGCCGAGGAGTAGAGGTAGCCGGGGACGAGGGGCCGGCGAGACCTCTCGGAGACATCCATCGAACACTATTTTGTCGATCGAGAACTAAGGAACGGATCGAAGACGAAGCGCAACCGTAGTCTTCGCGCTCAGTTTGCTTGTTTATATAGCCTACTAAAGGTCTAAAATAGTCTCGCTATTCTCCGTTAATTACACATATATATCGTTGTTGTCGATGTTAATAATATGGAGAATTGGGCAATTTAGAAACCACAGAAAGACCAACGACGGCTGCCGCCGCCATTCCATAAAGTAGAAGTCAAATTTAGCGAACGTGGAGCCATTTGAAGCCGTGCGATCTGAGGTTGTCGTCAGTGAACGGCTGAGATCACCTGCTAGACTCTTGGGTCTTTCGGGTGGGTCAGTCAACGCGGCTGCTTCGGTCACAGGTGCGCGTTTTGTAAGTTCTTCGGAGTGCACGTTTAATTGAGTACCCATCCACAGCAGCCCTACATGGGTCCCACAAAGACGGAGAAGATACGCCAGCCATGTGCGGCCACGTGGAAACGTGGGCAGAACTGGCATTGAAATCTGATTTATCGCGTGCGTAAGCACTTACGCATAAACTTTCCTATAAAAAAGGAACTTATCGTGCCACCATCAGACGTAACTCGTTGTACTACCCGCCTCCTAATCAGCGGCTTCATGTGGGCCCAGTGCTTAATCGTGGTGAGACGGAGTCGCAGAAACGGGTACGAAAGGTGCTGCATCACAAAAAAGGCTTGACCATCTGAGTTCTCCGGTTTCTTGGTGTGAAAGAAGCAAACTTTGTTTGAACCCTTCTTGCCTTTGATCTATGTAGGCAAATATTCTTGTGGGTTTGACGAAGGAAGTCGAGGCTGACCATCTCACGTTGACCACCCCTGCTTCCATCTCGATACTCAAAACCCGTACAGGTGAAAATGATATATAAATGCGTCTTCATCATCATCGCCTTCTACATTGAACAGATCGAACAAAAAGAAACAACTAAAGGAAAAAAAATTGGACTGTTGACGTCACAATGAGCCATTGATTCCCAGCTGCACCTGCAATTGTAGACTGTTGGAAGCTTCATTTATCGTCCGCCACCATTGAGACGAACGCAGGTGAGGTTGCAGATCTTGATGCACTCGGTGGGAGACTCTTGGCAGACCTTCATGCAGTCATCGAAGCATCCGATGTGGCTCACGATGACCGGAGCAAACGCAAGAACGACGACGAGGAGCAGTCCGACGAGAGATGCCCTATCTTTGGCCATTCTTTCTTGTGTTTCGCATGTAAGAAAGACCACAGGTTTGGATTTCAAGTGTGGTAGGTTTTAGGGAGTGAGTTTATGTCCATCCATTTTGTTCATGGATGGCATGAAAATGCGGGAGAAATAAAAGATATGGCGATAGATGAGTTGTAAATATAAAACCTGTAATTATACTATTATTAGTATGTAGAAAAAAAAATCAATGCTAATTATTGAAATCAAATAACAACAATATATTAAGATCAAAATTGCTTTTCTCTCTTCTTCTCCTTTCTTTCGATCCTCTACAGATTTCTTAGACAAAAAATGGTCATCTCCTGAACAATAGAAGCAAAGGAGTTGGCTACAAATTTATGAGCAGCATGGAGGACGAGAGATGAATGTTCTTGCATGAGTAAGTCTTTACATCAAACACTGATGCATGAAATGAAATGTAGTAAGAACCATAAAAACACAACAGCATGCAGCATATTAATGTGATTTTGGTAGGTGGGCGACATGCAAAAGCGATCACCGTCGACTTGTTCTATAATTTTCGCGAAAGATTCCGTGGAAGCTTGATAGATCAGTAGGTAACAGGGGAAGAAGCCACGTGAAATGGCAAAGTAGAAGGATCATCCTTTTTCTGATCTTTTCCATGAGAAAGAATTGATTTCTTCTATGCTTTCACAGACAGATGGGAGACACAATTGAGTGGCATGCATCAAAGCTGCATTCTTGTCCTGCTTTCTTTTCCTTTAGTAGATGTTTTGCTTGTCATAGTTGATTTAGTACAATCTTAATTCATGATTTATTACTGTTCATGTGTCTTTATTCATGATTTTATTTTGTTCAAAAGGGATTCTTGGACTGCCATGAAAGGAAGAAAGCTTCCAACCATTCCTGCTATTAATGCCTCCTAGACCTCACCACCCACCTCCAACCCTCCATTTCTGATCTCCTTCATCTCCCTTACACCATGGAGCAGAACAAGCTTGTCGTCATCTCCAGCTTTGTTGCCTTCTTCCTCTTGCAGGCCACCCTGGCAGCCTCCCAAGAAGTCGGTATGCAGTGTCTTGGCTCCCCCCCTCTCCTTCACCTGCAACTCTATTCCAAGCTTTTTCCGATGATTCTGAGCTAGTTTGTTCCCCGCAGAGGATGAGAAGGAGTTCAGCTACGTGACCGGGAGCGAGCTGGGACCGGAACACTGGGGAGAGATCCACAAGGACTGGGTTGCCTGCGGCGATGGCCACATGCAGTCCCCCATCGATCTCTCTCACAAAAGAGTGCGGATTCTCCCTAACTTGGGTCATCTCCGGCGCTCCTATCGCCCGGCCATGGCCATCGTCGAGAACCGCGGTCACGACATCATGGTCAGAACTCGCCACCCCAATCTCTCTCCCACCAATTTGCTTCTCTCTAATCGATGATTTCTTGCTGCACAAAGCTCAAATGGGAGGATGAAGCAGGAGTCATATGGATCAACGGAACCAAGTACGCTCTGAAGCAGCTGCACTGGCACTCGCCCTCCGAGCACACCATCAATGGCCGCAGGTGCTTCATGTCTCGATTTCAGAAGGAATTTAACCCATTTTCCATGATTTTAAGGAATCTTATGTTCGTGAAATCGTTTCTAATGCTCATGTCCTTGGACGCAACATTTCTGGCCCATCCAACTCACACGCAAGTGATGTGCTACCAAAACTGTAGGTACTCCTTGGAGTTGCACATGGTTCACGAGAGTGCTGACAAGAACATCGCTGTCGTCGGCATTCTCTACAAGATGGGCCGCCATGATCCGTTCCTCGCCAAGGTCTTTTTGCTTGAGCAGAGCTATTGTTTCATTGGATTAGGATTACTGGCTATGCAACCGTGTTACAACTTCATCAGTCGGAAACAATTCATTAAGAACAAGAGACCAATATGGAATAATTATTAGTTAATCCTGCATTAGCTTATATGTCATCGTTGGTTTTGTATGCTTTAGTTGGAGAGATACATAAAAAAGATTGCAGACAAGCATGATGCAGAGGAGGTGGCGGGCATGGTGGATCCAAGGCATATTAGGAAGGGAAGCAGGAAATACTACAGATATATGGGATCTTTGACTACTCCACCTTGCACTGAGGGTGTAGTTTGGACCATAATTAAGAAGGTATGTCAGATATAGGGAATATGTGCAGTTCATCAAGTAAATGCTGGAGATATTTTTGGATGAACATGACATGAATGGTTTTGTTTTGGTGGCAGGTGCGTACAGTGTCAAGAGAGCAGGTGGCCCTTCTGAGAGAAGCTGTGCATGATGTAAGTAGCATTTTGTTTTCTGATCTGAACTCTGCATTTAAGAGTATGCAAAACTATAAGTTTGTGGCTAATCTAAGCCAATCTACTTAAATGATCTGTGACATTGTAGTCATTGATTTCATGTGTATATGTACGACATTTTCAGGAAGTATTATCAGCAAAACTAGTTGTTCCTCCATTAAAAAGACTCTTACCATTGTCATTTAACTTGCAGGACTCAGAGATGAATGCAAGACCTACCCAGCAGATAAATGGCAGAATTGTCGGCTTTTATCGGCCTCAACAATTTCAATATTGATGAATTTGAATGTGTGCTGGTATGATTTTGATGTAATGCTTGTTCCTTTTTGAAGAACAAACAAGGATTAGCTTGGAAGATCGGCTATATAATGGCAACTCATCCCTGTTTGATGATTACATCCAAGGGTAATATCACTTGAGGACAGAATAATGTTGTAATGAAAGCCATTTTTCACATAAAACATCAATAAATGATATTATGCCAGTTCATGTTTAAGCATTGTGGATTCCCATCTAATTCTTTTGTCATCTCAGACATATCAGCTTGTTTCTGTAGCAGATCAGACATGATTAATAATATTATCATGTTAAGTCTGAGCTTCCTTTCTTTTGGTAATCCAAGAGAATTTTTCAATTCAACTTCATTGTTTTTTTTCCTAACATGAAGTTTTTCTTCTCTGCTGACTTAACAAATGATTTGTACACCATAATCTAATGCTGTTTTTTCATCAAATGCTTTTTCAGTGATGTATTGGGAGCCAAATTCCAATATCAATTTCAATTAGAGCACTGATTTATCTACTCTTAACCACCATTACTTTGGAACTTGTAAAGATTTGATGAATGAGTTTGCCAATCCACAAGATCTGAAAACTACACCTTCTTGCATGGTCTGATAGCTACTTTTAACTATTTGAGCACTGCTGTCCACATGCAGAAGATGATCATGTTGTGACCAAGAAAGTGATCTCATGAACATGTAAAACATGGTAGACTTTTGAATCAGTATGATGGATGACTTGTTAGCAGAGCAGACATCATGTCAGCAACAAACATTCAAATGAAATGACAAAGTTTAATGAACTCAGCAAACATAATTAGACAAGCAGATTCCAAAAAGCTTGTCTTGGTTGTGAGATCAAAAGATGTTTCACTAGGTATCATATATAATTCAACATTATGTCCAAGAAAGAAAGAGACAACAGGTACTATTGTTTCCTTTCACATACAAAGATTTGAATAGGAAGCAATTTCAAACATCAAGTAGGGCACCACATATGAGAGCCAAGAACAAAATACAACATGATCAACAGGCAAATATCATGACAAGAACAAAAAGATTAATTCAGTTACTGCTGCACATGTGCACATCCAAACAGAATCAAAAGTAGACACATCCTATCAACATTTCCGCTGCTCGATTCCATTTTTCTTGTGTAGTATAAAAACAATAAGAACGTACAAGTCGTTTTTAAACTCATTCGCTGATAAGGTACAAGCGGATTCATATACACACATTAGAGGGGACACCACGATTTGCATTTGGAAACTCGGATCAAAAATTGTCAGCGACTCTCCTACTCTCTGACTTCGGTAAAGTATTTGTCTTCCCGGTCGCAAACTCTGGGATCGGTTAGATTTAGTAGATAAATGTACAATTGAACCAACTGCTGGATTTAAACATCAATGTTGCAAAACTTGCCATGGATCTGATTCTGTACAGCTTTGATTGCAGCTACACGAGCAGCTGTGGCTGCTCTATTTGCATTGGTGACTGCTTTATTCACTTGTGCATCCACCCTCGGAACCAGAACAGAATCATCTGCTGCCTTCCGAGCAGCCTACATGGACAATATTTAGGTTGTCACGACGCAAAAGAAAAATCATCAGAAGGACAGAATTAAGGAAACAGAATAGTTTGCATGCAATTACCTGAACTGCATGCTGGACAGCAGGATCCGAAGGGGGAAGTGGAGTCTTCAGAACCCCAGAAGCCCAGTCTCCGCATCTTGCTTCTCCATTGCGAAATGTGTACATTCCAAAACCTTGCTTCTTGCCTTCGTGCCATGATCCTTCATAACAGTGACCGTTAGCAAAATGATAGACACCAAACCCGTGGATAATGTCACCGAAGTACTCGCCAGCATACTTATCACCGTTCCTACACCCATGAAAGATTTTCAATCAGTAGTCCATTACTTCAAACCAAAGAATACGATGGAAGATTTCTGCCAATTTATATCTCCCACAATTATGTTTATAGTTGTGGTAACAAATATCTTCTGATCATACTTAATTGCTCTTAAAAATCACTTCGAAATAATTATATTAATAAAGTAAATCAGTCATGATGGAGAAATAAGAAAAATAAATTGTGGGAAAAAGAACTTTTGACAGGCTATCAGAGACATATCTTCACCAAAAAAAAAAAGCCCATGAGTTCTTGCAATGACATTGCTTGAGCCATCATGATGAACCAGAAATCTGCGAGTAGTTTAAACTTCATGAATTAAAGTTGAGAAAAATAAGAAACCAATCAGCAAAAACAAAAGTAACCACATCTATATTCCACCTCCAACACAAAAAAAAGGAAAAATTTTGTGGCAGAGACTCTCATAAGCCTGCAGACCAAGAAAAACTCTAATAACTGAAACCGGCAAGAACATTTCACCAAGTCCAACCAGCATAATAATATTACTACATCCCACATCGACCTACATACTCAGTGATATAATTAAAGCATAGCTCCTAGCCATTACCATCTAAATTGATCCATGACTTCATCTTCAAGTTCCCCATATTAGAAGGAACTGACTTTATGTGATAGGGATGTCTTTTCTGGACACACTGTCATGACAGGATCATAACAAAAGAAATCAAACGCAGATTTCATTAATTCCCAAATGCAGAACCTGGAAAAACCCTATTGTACAATCCAGTCATCAGCCACTAAAAGGTGAAAAACCTCAAATCAAATACTTTAGAGATGAAAGCAACAAGCTTGTTAAAGATCTGTGCCCACCAACATATGTACTGTTCCATCAACCATGTTCAACAGTAAAGCTGTAAATTTTTTGCATACCCATCACAAACAAAAACCTAACTTTCTTCAATCAAGGCTCTTTAAATAAATAGAAATCGCACGATCGACATCAAAGGCGCCAACTTTGTTCCATATGACCAACCAAAACCTACAGAGATAAGCTAAAGTGAGCAAAATTCTTGCCTGAACTGGTAGTAGCCAAGGCCGTGCTTGACGCCGCACTTGAACTCACCGATGTAGGAACTCCCGTCGGAGCACGTCTGCACCCCGACCCCGTGACTCTGCCCACCGATCCACTCCCCGGCGTAGCTGTCGCCGCTGTAGAACTTGTACACCCCGAAGCCATGCCGCAACCCCCGCCTGTACTGCCCCCGGTACCGGCTGCCCCGCGCCCAGCTCTCGATCCCGCACCCGTCGTACTTCCCGTCGATCCAGTCGCCCTCGTACCGCCCCTTGGCGAAGAAGTTGTAGACGCCGCTTCCGTTGCACCGTCCCTTGTGGAACTCACCCTCGTAGTAATCCCCATTGCTGTAGAACACAACCCCCTCGCGGACGATCCTCCCGCCGGCCTTCCTTTCCTTCCGATTGTCATCGTCGCCGATGAACCAGTCGACGGAGGAAGCTCGACGGGCGGCAGCCCTGCCACTACCGGAGCATCGGCGGGCAGCGTACGTCACGGTGGCGACGAGGGCGAAGATGAGGACGAGGTTGGCGAAGCGTGGGGAATCGTCCCGGAGGTAGAGGAAGAGGAAGAAGATGAACGCGAATGGGAGGGAGAGAAGGAGGAGGTCGCGGTAGTGGCGGTGGGGGTTGTGGCGAACAGGACGGCGGGGCTTCTCGTCCTCCTCATCGGCCGCAGCGGCGGAGGTGAGGCTGTGGACCGCGGATCGGGCCGTGGGTGAGCGGAGAAGGGAGGACTGCGTCCGGGTGAGCTTACCCTTCTGCGACTCCATTTCTTTATGACCGCTACTCTTACTCTTTCGAATTCATGGTGAAGAGACGGGAAGGAAATAAAGGGGAGGGGGAAACGATTTAAACGTCGAAGGCTTTCGGGTTGGGCGACAAAAGACGGTGGGCTGGAGGTACGGGTACCGCGAGTTCACGGATCTTGCTTCGAGGGTGCTGCGTAGGATTGGGAACCGACGGCTGTGATGCCGCTCTCGAGCCCTCGACCTGGTCTCGTGGAGATTTTTTAGCCCCGACGAGCTGTACCTGATTCGTGGTGGGGTCCACCTTTTTGCTTGCATCGGTAAAGGCAGGTAAGTGATCGGGTTTCTTAAAAGTAGGTAGAAAAAGTATTCCTGTCATCCCTGCGCGTTTTAGATCTTGCGCAGCGGGATTCTTGAAGCATTTTGGACGGTCGATCAGAATGCAACTTTTCTTGCACGCCAAAAGAATACCGTCCGTTACCTGCCTTAAAGACGGACCACGTCTGGGTTCCACATAAACGAGCCTCCCCACAAGGCCGGCAGGTCAACGAGTAGGTCATAGACGGGTAGGAAAGGCAACAAAAGAGCATCACCCTTTGGCACCCGCGTGATCAACGTGGGACACGTGATCCTGGCCGTCCAAATCATGTAACGAAGGAACCAAAGGTGGCAGAGGTTGACTGTGAGGTTAACTTGAATGAAGAGTCACCGGAAAAGCTTCCAGCAGCAATGGTGCTGTGAGACTCCTCCTTTTCCCTTACCTTTGAAGCTTGATAGCAAAGAAAGATGACGCAGGTGACAGTGTTTGATGCACTCTGAAGCGTGGCAAGTGGCAAAGTAGGTGAAGTCGGTTCGGGAGCATGATTAGCTTTGGGTCGTAGGTAGTGGACGAAGGCAGGACAAGTCATCATGTTAGGGTTCCATATGGCCATTCAGCATGCGATTTCTGCCATCAGGAACGACGTGGGTGGATGGACATGTTTGAGACATGGATGGAGGCCTTAGGAAAAACAACTTGGAGGAGTCAAGTAAGTAAGATGATGTCTTCTTCTTGGAGCAAAACCTACGTCAGAGCAGCAGATCTAATGGAAGACCAGCACTAAGTCAGTGGTTGATGGAGTGCATGGACAGGAAGAGGTGGCATAAGGTTGGAGAGAGAACGAACAGTTTGAAAGGAGCATTAGAAATAGCAGCCGCACCTCGTGTGAGACCGATGTGGTTTGGTCAATCAATGGGCTTAATCAACTAAAGATGATGGACTATAGTCTACGTGGTCACCCCAAATACAAGATCTACATCTCATATGTATACTATAGGCTACTTGTTTTGGTCCATATCTAAATGCATAAGGAGTTAAATTTCCCCAGCAGGGTTTGATGTTTGTCTATTATTGGCTTAATATTTTAGTATGCAGATAAAGACTTAAATCGATATGAAGTACAATATATTAATTTGGGTCTAAAGATCTCAAGGCATAAGGCTTCAACCTTATGATTCATAAACAAAAAACTTTTCACAAATAAAGTCAGAATATGGTCACTTGATTTTTCTTATATTCTTTCATGGTTTCCTTTTCATACATTTCACATCTTCTGAAATGAAATGTTGGTCTCTTTGGCTTCAAGCTACCATATAAACCAAGTGTTCTGCAGGATTCCAATGTATTCACAGGAGCACCAAGCCTGTCTCAAGTGCAAATCGAGACAATACAATAGTTTTTGTTCAGGATAATTTGATGCCTTCACTTAGCTTTTAATTCCATTTTTCTTATACTCTTGTCCAAGATTAGGTGAAGTGTCTCTGAGCTGTACTTCTTTTCCCTCTTGTCCAGGTTTAGATAGATGTCAATCTCACATTCAAGTGCTAACAATTGTTGCTAGTCTTTGCACATGACAACATTTCACCATCTTGACTTCACTGTGATTGTTGCTAGTCTTTCGACAGTGCTAATAATCTGCATAGTCTTGAGGAAAAAATAATCTTGACTGTCTTCATCTATGTCACCTGAGGGCTCTATTTCATGTGGACACCATTGATTGCCTCAGCATTCAGGAAGCAGCAAGGAAATGTCTACTCATGACAGGGAGATCCATCTTAACATGGATCGAACTGGTCTATCGTAGAGCACCGTTCATATCTTCTTGTTCAGTCTCTGAAGGTAGCATATGAACGCAGATATTGTTTTGATCAGTGCAAACGACCTCCTTACTTCTGCTCGAAGCATGCCTACATTGCCAGCTCCCCTTCCACGTCTTCTTCTGCTCCTCCTCCTCCTCTCCATCTATTCTCCAACTCTGGCCACCGAGTTCCTCTTCAATGGGTTCAAAGAAGCTGCTAATTTGAGCTTGGATGCCTCGGCCCTTATCACTTCCAATGGAGTTCTCCAGCTGACCAATGACAGCAAGAGACAGATAGGTCATGCTTTTCTTTCTTCTCCGGTGCACATGCTTCACAACCGATCCGTTGCCGCCTCATTCAGCACGGCCTTCGTGTTCGACATCGTCACTGTTAATGGCAGTGGCGGCGATGGCCTGGCCTTTGTTGTTGCCACCTCCAAAACCCTGCCTGGAGCTCAGAATGGCCAGTTCCTTGGACTCCTCAGCACCCAGAACAATGGCAATATCTCCAATCATCTCTTTGCCATAGAATTCGACACGGTGAAGGCCATTGGACCATTCACTGACATCGATGAGAACCATGTCGGTGTGGATGTCAACAGCCTCGAATCAAATGTCTCAAAGTCCGCCGCCTATTACGCAGATGGTGGCAAGAAGGTGTCGGTAGATCTGCTGAGCGCGCAACCAATCCAGGCCTGGATCGACTACAACGGTGTCACAAGCATTCTGAACGTGACCATCGCTCCGCTGCCGCTCCCCAGACCACGCCGCCCTCTCATATCGCACGCCATCGATCTATCGCCAATTTTCAAGGAGTATATGTACGTTGGGTTCTCCGCCGCTACCGGAAAGCTCACAAGCTACCACTATATCATGGGTTGGAGCTTCAGCACGGATGGAGTCGCGTCGAGCCTCGATCTATCTCAGCTGCCCCTTCCACCAAGGCAAAAGGAAGCATCACCAGCTTCAAAAGCTAGTATACTGAAGACCGCAGTGTTGTCTTCCATTGTGACGCTGCTCTTTATAGTGCTTGTGATCTCCATTTTCATGTACTTAAGGAAGCAAGCGAAACTGTCTGAGAACCTCGAGGACTGGGAGTCGTATTACCCCCACAGGTTCCCATATAAGGAGCTCTACAAAGCAACCAAAGGGTTCCAAGATACGGAGCTCCTCGGCTCGGGAGGCTTTGGCCAAGTCTACAGGGGCACTCTGCGGCGCACCGGAGAAGTGGTCGCCGTAAAGAAGATCTCCAGCAATTCAAGACAAGGAGTAAGAGAGTTCATAGCCGAGATCTCAAGTTTAGGCCGGATGAGGCACAGGAACTTGGTGCAGCTCCAAGGATGGTGCAAGCGGAACGAGGACCTCCTCCTCGTCTACGACTTCATGCCCAATGGGAGCCTCGACGCCTTCCTCTACGACCACGACAAGAGCCAGCAACTGAGTTGGAACCACAGGTTCAAGATCCTCAAGGACATAGCTTTCGGCCTCCTCTACCTGCACGAAGAATGGGAGCAAGTGGTCGTCCACAGAGACATCAAGTCCAACAACGTGCTACTGGACGCCGACATGAACGCAAGGCTGGGTGATTTCGGCCTCGCCAGACTGCACGAGCACGGAGAGAATCCTCACACAACCCATGTCTAGGATAAAAAGAGGAATAACCTTTGTATAGGAACAAATACTAGAAGACCAAAATACGCAGCGGAATAAAATGGAAACACAATCAAACAGAACACCAAGATATACGTGGAAAACCCCTTCAATGTGAAGGGTAAAAACCACGGGGCAAACTAGAGATAATCCACTATGAGAATAATGAATATATAAAT